CGCGTGTTGCGCGCGGTCGCGCTATTTTTCGAATGCCCTGTATAAGTCCTTTATTTGACACGTTTCGGACCGCGAAATCGCGCGCGGCGAAAAAGAGGGTACTTTCAGCCGTTAGCCAACAAAGGGACCTTGATTCGTATTTTGTGTACTACGCCTGTAATCAGCATGTCAGATAGAGTTCACACCCAAAGTTTTGAGTGAATTCGAAGTGTTTGAATTTTGTCGCCCGAGAAGGACTTCGTTGCTTTCCTGAAAGATAGGAACTAGAACTCAGTTTCTAATTGTATCCAAAAGTATCTATGTTGTACACGTTACACATCATTATTGGAACTATTGTTTTTCTCTTTGAATTCGAAGGAAAAAAAAAGTTGCGACGTCGCACGCGTCGTCCGCATTGCCGCGCTTCGTTGCAATTGTCGTTGGATTTGCGCTTGTATCTCCCAAACAAATATAGGCGGCACAATTCTACAGAGTCATTTGAGAAGTAGAAGCTTAGGACTTCGACTTGATAACCTTGGACAAAAAGAAAACCTCCTGCAAACAATATAAAGATCCTTGAAAGGCCTGTGCTGCACCATGTGCAGCACCGGTCCGAAACGTGTTAATTCGTGCGAATGTGACTTGATCACGGCGACTTGCCCTAACGCAAGTTGCAGAAGTTCTGTAATTACAAGAAAGGACTGCTGAAATGAGGACTAGTGTATCCAGGGAAAGATCAATACCATACTGTATTTTGTAGCAATAGGGTAGCGGCAGACCGGAGGAGGCTCCCTCCCCCCCCCTCCAGAGTGGTCGCGAAATTTTCAGTTGCGAAACAATCCATAAAGATGTCGAGCAGTTTTCCTACTCAATTACGATGATTGTAAAATTTTCAAAAATCCACTTTAGCATTGAAGCTTTTCCGGGGGTGTAACCGCCGCCACAATCGCTTTTCATAACCCAAAACTTTATGGAAGCACCTCAAAAGTTTCGGTGGCATGGCTGACGGAGCGCACTCCGAAAGAACCTCTCCTTCATTCGGAAATACTTTTAAAAGTAATCTTCTTTCATCAAGACGCGAAATAAAATGTCAAATTTCACTTCGGCAACAACTACATCTTTCTGACTGATATCGCTTGAAAGCTCCTGATGTACTTCTTGTAAAAATTTTATACCCTATTTTCAGGTGTATAAGCCGCGAGGGATTTTTTGTGAAACTGCTAGCCCAAACACGTCAGAGGACTTGGCAATTCGAAAAAGTGCGGCTTATCACCTGAAAATAGGGTAGTTGTGATGCGCAAGCTAAGCTTCTTGTACTAACAACAAAAATGCTTTTCAAATAGTTGCTTTTTTGATTAAAGACAAATCACATGAATACGTAAATCCAGCACTGTGAAACAGCGCACTGGCAGAACTGGATTTTTTTTTCAAATATTCTATTCTTATTTGACAGTTCAAATAAGAATGGACATAATTTACTTTGACTTTTTGGGTAGAAACACTGCAGTATGCTTATCTTTCCTTACCTGTTGAATGAAGGTACTAGGTGATCACTTTTCTATGTAACTGCGACCACTAGGACAGCGAAACTGAGAGATTGTGAAAGTAGCTACAAGTCTTGCACGGAAGGACGAGGCAGCATTAACGTAAAAACCGTGCGAAGAAGTGCACCAAATTGTTTTTGTGCAACATAATACTTTGTGCCGAATTTATTGCTTGTGTAACATTCCTTCGAATCGATCGCGCTTATGTTTTTGGCTATGCTGTGAAAGAAGAATTGTTTACACTTTCATGAAGAGTTATGATTTGACTATGACAATAAAATAAAGCATCTGGTGTGTATTGCGAAGTGTCAGGAGTTTCGTAGATGGTTCCGTACAAGAGGCATGCAGGCCATGAAACTTGAATTGTAGACATGTAGGATTGACAGAACTGCTTTGAGTACCTTATTAGTAAGCTGAATATTAGGTTGGCATGAAAGTTCGTTCTCACCATTTTCAAAACTTCATGACACTCTTTCTTCTGGACCAATTTGCACATATTTACCTTTATTTGAATGACATTGTGTTTTTTCAAATGGTTCCTGAGCTACCTTTTGATAGAGGCAAGCTAAGGAGGTCGAAACCGGAGAAGAAAATTACTCAAATTTTGACTTTTCTATGTTTGGTCGTGAAAAATCTGAAGCTTGTAACAAGAATCGGAGCATCGGTATTGTTTCATCACTTGATCTTTCTGACTGAGCAATGCTGATTGAACGTTCTTATAAATGTAGATTTACAAGCAAGCAGTACAAAACAACAAATTTGAAATTTTAACATTTTTTTTCGCAAACCGCAATATCCTAGAGGCGTTCAGCGTAAACTTTTAGTGAAAAAGGGGTAGCAAAACTATAATTTTTACTGCACCCATTTTTGTTGCAAGTTTGAATTTTTTGCGATCAAACACAGAAAATTTGAAAACGGAGTTTTCTTCCCCGGCTTGGATTTCCGCAGCTTACTTCTACCAAAAGGTACTTAAGGAATTGTTAGAAAGAGAGCATGATTTCCTCTTTTCAACGAATAGAAACATATGCGAAACGGTTGAGAAAGTAGAAAGTTATGAATCTCTGAAAATCCTGCAAACGAATTTATGTGCCCTAATAGTTTCAAGTAGTACTACATGATCACACACAATAATTCCGCCAGGCTACAGCCTTTCACGAATGATTGAAAGACTCTGGAAATAAAAGTGTGAAACTGAAAGAGTTGGGAATTTCAGCCTTTCAAAATCACTGAGTGTGAACAAACCTCAATGAAATTTTGCGGGACGTACAAGAATATGAAAACCAGCATACTGTAACCTGCTACTGCAAAGAAACAAAGCTTTCGTGGAAAATAATTAGCTACTATAAACTTGCACTCAGATAGGGATTTACAATCAGCAGATGCGTCGTTGAAGGCAGTGTCTGGGCAAAAACTCGATTTTTAGAAACTCCCTCGAAACCCTCGAAACTGGACCCCGGGGTCGTATTTCGCATGAATTCACGGCGCAAAGCGTGGTCCTCGCGCGAATCTGCCATGAATCCATGCGAACACGATCCTGAGGTCCATTTTGGAGGCGCATATCCCAGCCTTTAGTGATTCACCTGCGCTGCCGCTTGGGCAGTGCCTCAGTTAGGGCCCCAAAATTACTTTCCTCGTAAAATCCCAATAGGTCCAGATCTGCCTGGACGCTGCCTTTGAAGGCACCGTCCACCCAAATTCTCGACTTCCATGTTTCCAGGACCTGGCACGAGTCGGTTTCTAGGGTTTCTGGAAACGAACTCTCCCTGACTTTCGGAAGTTTTACGAAGTCCCCTTTGACCTATTTGCTTACTAGTCTGAAAGAAAAAAACGTAAAATAAGACTGAAAATCCAAATTGGAGTGAATACCACGCATGCACAAGAGTTTGGCACTGGAGCGCGATATTTTACAAAGCGATATATGAGGAAATGAAGGCAAAAAACAAAGGAAAGGCAATGATATGAAAATGTCTTCATGCTCAAGAATAGATTTTTGACCGAGGAATCTGTCCATGATAGAAAAATCCAGAACTTATGTGAAGTGACAGAAATATATGCTCCAGACGATCTCAGATCGTCTGGTGGCCGTCTGGAGACGATCTAATTTTGGAAAACGTATTACTTCACATAAGTTTTCAAACCTTTTTACATAGATCTTCTGCAAATAATTTTCTAAGTATACGGTTCAATTTTGGTGTCATACGATTCTGTGTGCGCTGTAAACAAGCTATTTGTTGATTTTGGCCTTGCTTTCAAATCGCGCGCACTTTTCGCGATACGAGATAGAGCATGTCAGTCGTGTGATACCTGTCCGAAAAGCTTGTATTTGACTAAATGGTGCTTATTCTTGGTGCTGGGCCCCGATTCATCAAAAACGATATCTCCTTTGCTTTTTGCTTCAAAAACGAAGTCCAGCCTGCTTCCAGACGATCTATGCCGGGCCCTGCATGTTTCTGTCGCTTCCGGGCCTTTGAAGGCCCTGACTTCGAATATGAAGTCGAGAATCCCCGAAAAACTTAAAAACCCTATTCCGGAGAACAAGCGGGACGGGTGGAAGTGCAGGTCGCAAGGCTGCGGCACTGTTAAAGCCCGGCGTATATCAGCGTCGCAGCCCGCCAAACCTGCAGAAGGGGCAGAGTGACCAGCGGGCAGAGTAACCAGCTCTGGATTACGTACCTTCCGGAGCGGATTTCTCGCTCCGGAAGCAATCTTCTGCGGGGAAACTTGGGGATTGGCCAGTGTGGGGGCCCACATTAGTATGCCTCGTCACCCTCTTTGGATGCACGGTGCCTTTAAAGGCAGTGTCCCGGCAGATTCGGGTCCTGGGGGATATACGTGTGGTGGGGTTCCTGGTCACCCCATCGACCTCCAGGCGCACTCCGGCTGGGTGATGTTCCCCCTGGGCCGAGAAAATGGCCCTTGAACCGGCGCGCGCAACCCCAACTGGCGCGCGCTTGGACGGCCTTCCCCGCCTGTTCGGCGCGGGACCCCACCAGCGCTCTCCCCCATGATGCATGCTATCCAAAGCAAGAATTACAGGCGGCAGGATCTTCGTCTGAAGACCTCCCCCAACTTTCCATTAAAAATCTCGTCCAAGCTGCTTTTCTGGAATTCGGAAAACGCCCCAAAATTGGCCTTTTCAGCCCGTTCAAAGCTCCAATTCGGATTCTACGTGGCGAAAAGTCCTAAAACATGCAAAAAGGTGGAGTTGCAAAATCTGCCGGGACACTGCCTTTAAGGCCTCACACTTGCGCGATGTTGTGTAGGAGGAGGGCCACTTTCGCATGGCACTGAAATCCCAAGACCCCCAACTTGCCCGGAACTGCCTTTGATGTCTGAGTCAGCTGACCATCCTTCTTTTTGCACAAACTATGGAGTAGTCAACATTAGTCTTGCACTAACTCAATAGTATAGATTTGAAAATAATTGCTCCATATTTACTTAATGAAAAAACATATCCGTTAATGGTTCCATCATGTCCTCTACATTCTTATTCGCGCGATTATTTGGAACAATGACAATAGACAAAGGAGTAGTAGTAAAAGAATTGAAAATTGGAGATTTCGTGCTGTTTCAAGCGCCAGTAACCGCATTGTAGTCTTCGATAAACTTTTTGTACTTCGCTTTGTTCTCATCAGTGAGAATTGCCTCATACCTGCAAGAAGTGGATCTTAAAAATAGTGCAACACGAGGAACTGTCCTACAGCACCTTTTCCCATGTTTTTCAAGAAAATAGCACAACATCACTCGATGAATGTACAAGTATTGCTGAAGCGTTCATAACGAATTTGCTTTCGTATATCTGCTTAGGAGTCAAAAACTTACCAAATCATTCTGAATTGTATACGCTCGCTGATTGCGGAGTTCTTTGAGGAGATCGTTCATCGCAGCACATTCGTGCCCAGCCTGCATCCGTTCTGAAGTTGAAACGGATTTACAAAATGAAAATATTTCTTGCAGGATCTGTTTAGACCACGACTTTGCGGCTCAGTCTCAGTTAATGGGGAAGTTAGTCAAGGAACTTGCACAGTGGTTGGAGTGACAGAACTGCGGTGAGGTCATTCAATTTAACCAATTTTGAAGATTTGTATTGTCAGCAAAAAACATGCACGCAACACGCACCATCTTCCTTCTTTCAGGATTTAGTGAGAAAAGGTGAGTATAGGTGACCAAACAGATCACAGCGCGTACAGCGCGTCTGTATGGACGTGGTGACTCAACTGGAAGAGCCAACTTTGGAAATCTGGATGTCCGCAATCTCATAATCCTGGCTATTGCAGAGTTCCCTGAGCAAGAATGAAGCCAACGACACATTTGGACTAAAACCGGCGCATATTAGCGTTTGTCTCCGCCTTTGACCACTTGTTTGTCTATCTTTCACAATCGTTGAGGAGGAAGGCTATTGCCTTTATTCCTTCTTTAGAGTAAATTTCCCAGTTGACACCAAATTGGGTAGATTATTTCCCATGAGTGGCTTGTTACCTCAAAAATTGAAATGCTTGCTAACTGACCGAGAATATACTCGATTGCGACAATCGTTCCTGTACGCCCTATACCAGCAGAGCAATGTACGACAATTGGCTTGCTTGTTCCACGAACACGTGACAGCAGTTCCTAAAATAAAGGGAGGATTAAAAAGCGTGTAGAGATTTGAGAGGTTTTTTATGATTGATATAAGGGAGATCTTGGGCCTCCGTCAAACCTTGAGCGATTCCTTGAAATCGCCGACGCGATCTGACAGTTTTCCAGATCTCTGCAAATACTCCGCGCGTGTGACTTGAGTGCATAGGCGCATAGCTTTCGTAAAGTTATACGTACGGTCGGTGTCAACGATGTGCTTCCCTTGCCGACCAGCTCAAGCGCAACGCTAAGACCCCGTGTCGCGTTCGCGGGCGTACTGTTTGAGCGTTCAAATCTGCCGCATTGATCGCAGATCGCTGCGCAATGCCCACGCGCTGCGAATGCGTAGACACTGCGGAAAGGTGAGCACGTGGTTGACATCGATTGTACACGCAACATCTTGCCTGTACACAACCCGTCTACAATAAACGATCGTTGCAGTCCGAATCGCGCGGCGACCAAAATCGCGCTGAGTATGACCAAGCCTTTGAAGATGTTCTTGGACTTGCTCTACAATCGCCTAGAAGTGTGCTAATTTATAGATGAAAACTGCGCACTATATTTTTTTCACAAATGACCCCGTCAAAAAGCTGTGTTCAGAACAGTAAGTCTTCGCTTTTGTTTCATCCTAAAAAAAGAGCCAGATGGTACGTTTCGCAGTCTGAACGTGGTGGAATTTAAAGAAGAGAATTCGATGAATGCGTGTATTCAGACGCCAATTTCTGCCAAAAAAATGAGGGATTTAGTACAGAAAACTAATTCCACAATTTAGTCCTTTAACGTACCATGCTAGTCAACTTGCACGGTGGAACTCCTCGATCGGGCCAATCCTGCCACTGATAATGGCGAATTTCTCTTGAATCCATAGAACCATCAGCTCGCGAGTAATTTATCTTCAATATGCACACGACTACGGTCAATTCTTCTGGAGAAAGTACTCGTGTCTGAACAATACTAGTTAAGAGAAATCCAACTATATCAAGTGCTTTCCACCTGAATGTTGACGACTTGGCCACCGTTGAAATTGCGTGTATCTCCGGGTTTGTCTGGCCAGTATGGGAAGCATTTGTGCTTGCCCTAAAACAGCTATTCTAACTTTTAACATTTTCGGGTAAGCGTCATCGCTACGCTATAAGCTGGAATTACTGCTTGAGTGCGGTAGCGGAACCACATGTTTGGTTTAGCAATAGAAAGCTTATTGATTCTCTCGAGATTTTCTAGAAAAATTAGCAAACGGTCTTACGAGTGCGCACGATCATGGAAGAACGTATTGCACCTTTTCAACTCACAGTTTCAATGCAGTTACAAAGCATGACTATAGTTTCCGCTTCTTCTTGCAATATCATTTGCCAGAATTCATTGACAGTACCTTCTAATGGACCCTGAAAATACGATCTAATTATCGAATCGTATATGTTATGTCCTGCGGCGTGGCGTTATGGAGCAAAGTTATGCCGCATTCGCCTGCGGTACAACCTGAGGGATCCTTGCGTTGCGTCGCTTCTAATTACAGCCGCAAGGAGTAGCGCCGCTAGTGCCAGCGGATCGAGCCATTCTCCATATTTTCCGTAGACAAAGACATCAAAATGCGGAAAATAAGAGGGTTTTCGGCATAAAGCAAAAGTATAATTTGAGAAAGAAGTTTCTGTCAAGCGCACTCAAGAGAAAGTGAGATAAAGGAAAATTTTCTTAGAAAGTCTTCAACGAAATCCGTCCCCTCTCTACTGATTCCCGTGTTCCACTTCTCTTGAACACCATTCAACTTGAATTCAGCCTTTGATTCATCCCTGAACATCTATTTTTCATATTGGGTTTCTTTATTGCATTTATACAGTTTTTACATCTCATGGGGAAGCAATAGGGAATGGCTCATTTCGCTGGCACTAGCAGCGCTACTCCTGCGGCTGCAATTAAAGACGACGCAACGCAAATCGTCCTCAGGGCATAACGCAGGGGAATGCGGCGCAGCTTTGCTCCATAACGCCTGCCCCCCGTTATGTCCAGGGTCAAGCGTGGGGTGTGGCACGCCACGCCTGGGGGGTCGTATTGAGGAGTCAAAAGGGGAGGGGGTCGTATTGAGTAATTTGATAATAGTGGTAACATGATATTCGTATCATATCCATAATGAGCATTTCAATTAACCCCTGTAGACAAAGTTTGAGCGAATTCTGAAGATTTAAGCTACTAGGTTACCTAAATGAAATGGTCATATTCCAACATGGTTAACTTTGTTTCAAAGGTGAAAGCTATATGTTTCTGCACGTTTCTGGGATCTACGAGGTTTAGGCTATCGTTTTATACAAATGCGGTTTGCCAAAAATATTTTTATGACATAGTTAGTGGGGTGTGGCACACCCCCTTAGCTGTGGCAGCCACAGCTGACACAGTTAGGGGGTGTGCCACACCCCACTAACTATGTCATAAAAACTTTTTTAGCAAACCGTATTTATATGGATCATAGCCTAGATTTCCTAGTCTTCACAGGAGTGATTTGCGCCTGATTCGTTTTTTTGCTCTGAGTAATAGTTGGTGAAAGCACAGCCATCAAAAGCGGAAACTGGGAAAAATGAGATTTTGGTTGGCTTCTAATTCCACAGTTTGGAGGTCTTTTGAAGCGGGATTTCTGAGATGGACAGAGAGGGAGCAGTGCTTTGTCTTGAGTGCAAAAACGTATAGCTAATTGACCTTTGAAACAAAGTTAATCATGTTGGAAAATGACTATTTCACTTAGGTAGCATAGTATCTTGAATCTTCAGAATTCGCTCAAACTTTGTACAGGGGTTAATTGACATGCTCATTATGGATATGTTGCCCATTATGTTTGGCAGGGCCTGCAGGTAATGCTATCTTAGGTATATAATTCAGGGGGGGGTCTTATTAAGACAGCAATCAGGGGGGGGGGGGTCTTACCAGCGATCGTGTGCCACACCCCTTGCTTGGCTCTGGTTACGTCATACCTGCGTCAAAATAAATCGTTTATCGGACACGGGCGTTCCAACATAGTTGGCATGGATATAATCGGTCGCTGCACAATGCCATTTCAGTACGATGCGATTCTGATCTTGACATGGCACGTCTTGATACCTGGGAACCATTTTGGATATCGAAACGAAAATCTTGATAGCAGGCAAGTGAAGTTTTCTCGGACACAGGCCAGAGGATCTTGGTTACCTGTTTCTTCCAAATTCCTGATTAGCCTTGAAAGCTTCAACAGTCATATCCGGTAAGGTGTATCGAGCAAGGCTACGATACTCTGACCTCAGTGCGTCCACTCCCATATCGAGCGCTCTTTGAACCCATTTTTGCACCTAGATTACGCAATTTTATAAGAATTCTTTTGGATCAAAGAAATTGCTCACCATCTTCATACCACTCGCAGCGACTTGTGCGACTTGAGGGGTCTGCTTATCAAGAGGTGGTGGTGTTGTTTGTGGTGGTTGTCCTTGTGCATCACCCGTAGCCTGAGGGCCTTGTGGTGGCGACTGAGGTTGCGTAGGTGCAGGTGGTGGTGGACTGGACTTGGCAATAGGAGCTGGAGAACTAGCTTCCGGTCGTGCAGGTGCGCTTGGGCCATCTTGTGGAGGAGGAGGAGGAGGCGGCGGCGGAGGAGGAGGAGGAGGAGGAGGGGGAGGTGTAGAAGCTGGAGGAGTCGCAGGAAAAGGAGCAGCTGATGGCTTCTTGACGGTAAAAGCTGGTTGAGGAGCCACTTCTTCTGGTGTACTCGGTTTAACAGTTGTGGGGCGTGATGTTTGAACCACCGTCATTGGCTGTAATAGTTTTTAGAAATAAAAGTAATGTAGAGGCATTAGAGATTTTAAGAGATTGCAGTCAAACATGTGGTGAGTGCTGAATTTTTTACCTTCACAGTCAGAAGATCCTTGGTAGCGTCCCTTCTCCTAGATCTCTTTGCAGTCATCATCTCCGTCATCGCCCCATCATCTCTCTTTTTCTTTTTTGATGCGTGTTTAACTCAAAATGAATAGAGTAGCGGTTATTTCCCTCTTAAGGACCAAAATATTTCGATGTTTTTGCGTTGTAGGGAACAAAGGTCTGAAGCTTAACGTTGAAGTATGTGACGCTCAACTAAACAACAACACTAACTTAGCTGCTCGAGGCTACGCAAAGGATGGCAAAACAATGGAAAGAGAAGGATGCGCTATCATAAAGAATCCCGCCTATACTGGCATTCCCGCCCTGTCGCCGAAAACGGACAGGCTGTGCGGTGGAACTGTCTCAGACATTCGCTGACTCCTCAGACACTCGCTGTTGACTCGCGCCGGAGATCCGCCCACTTTTGAGGGATTCGCGGGAAAGGGCGTAGACATGCGCGAGACAATATTTTGACAGTTTTTGCGGATGGTCGCGAAAGGAAATCGGGAGATGATGAGTGACTCAGCGAGCAGTTTCGCAATATCGACGCGCATTTCAAATCTCAGCTCATATTGCATCATTCCAGGTTTTTTTGCTACCTATTTTCAATTCGTGCATTCCATCCATCCCACCTAAGCCCTCTTCTTTATTTCATTCCAATCCAAAATTAACTTTATTTGAAATCCAATTTTGAAGCTTATTCTCTAGAAATCGAAGCTCGACTATCTCCGTGATTGTGGGATTGTGGAATTTGAGTTCAAATTACATCGGTTTAGGAACCAGCTGAGGCATTCAAGGTATTTCAAGGCATGATGATGGAGATGGAGACGTAGATGGGAGATGTACGGGCTTATACACTGAATCCGGTAAGAGCTAAACTCCTTCCTCCAAAGGTAAGATGTCAGTGCACTTATTCCCAGTCTTCGTCGACATGACTTTCGTTTCAGAAGAAGCGTGTGATCGAGACTACGGCAAGCAGCTCTTCTGCTGTCAAGGAAATAGAAAAGACCAGCCCCGACGAGTTTTAGCCGATCTGCTACTACTTTTTTCTAATTTGCTGTACTTACATATCACTATCATACCATTTGCCTTAACTCTACTCCCGCTTTTGCGTATCATTCAATTGCATTCCGAGATTCTCATTGTTTAGAAGTTTACCAAGCACACTTCTATCTCATCATGTATCTCCATATCGTGAAGCTTTAAGATAGTAAACATAGTAGTTTGACTCCCCCGAAGTTCTTATTTGATTTTCTTGCGTGGCTACATTGAAAATAACTCTAACTCTAACTCATAACTCTAACATAACTACTTCAATCTTAGGAACATTGAAATGTTCCTAAGATTGAAGTAAATTCACTACGTGCTAATGAAGTTTCCAATTGATCCTTATGTCATTTTAGAAGTAATAAATTGTTAGTTTAGACTTTGTAGAATTCATATGTATACGTGTACATATATACATATATATATGTACACTTATATATACATATATATCAGTGGCGTACCCAGGATTTCGGCTCGGGGGGGGGCGACAAAAATTTTTCTCCTAATGAAGGTGCGTGGCGTCAGCCACGCACTCCGAAAAATTTTTTGGGATGTTTCCCAAAATTTTTCCGAGCCCCTGACCCCAAAATTTCAGAGAAAGGGGCGTGGCGGCAGCCACGCCCCCGAAAAAAATTTTTTTATAAGGCTAATTTGAATTTTTAAAAATTTTCCAAAATTATTCTAATTGTTTACAAATAAAAACGAGTCTTCTGGCATTTTTTATAACACATTTAAGTAACTTTCAAAAATTTCGCGACCCATTCTGGGGGGGGGGCGCGCCCCCCTTTCGGTACGCCACTGATATATATATATACATATATGTACACTTATATATATGTATATATATAATGTATATTTATACATGCACATGTAAGTATATACATATATGTAATGTACATCAAGTAGGGATATAGCGAAATTACTAGTGCGAGATAACGCGCTCCAGTTGCGTCCGGACATCAGGATGTGTCGCCCTCGAGCTGCCGCGTATTTCCTGCAAGATGCGGGTCGCATCAAAGCGTGGTCTCGGGCAGCATTGTTCCGACAAATAATGCTGTTTCGGGATTTCGTCGCGAGGCCGATTACTTGTGTCGCGCCTTCATTCAGCGCTTACACAAAACTTTGGGCTGCGCGAATCAACAGCGAGTGTCTGAGTCGCGCCGGAGATCCGCCCAACACCTGAGGGCTTCGCAGGAAAACGCAGAGACATGCGCGAGACAATTTTTTGACAGTTCTTCGCGAATGTCGTGAAAGGAATCATAAAATGATGACTGACCCAGGGAGTAGTTTCACAATAGTAAACTTGCTCTACCCAAGCGTTAGCTATACACTTCTTGTTATACTACTATCATTCACTTTATTTATCTTTTCCTTTATCACTTTACTGTTTGTTGGTTTTGCCGCGTTCAGTTTCTTGAATTCAAATCTACATTCAGTTTCTCTTCAACTTTTGCAGCGGAACTTAGGCATTTGGCATTTGAGGTGGGGTCCCGCTATTGTTTCGATCAGTATCCAACCATAGATAGTGGTGCCTCGAGGATCTGCGATTCAGCTTGTTGTTGCTTCAGCTGTTGTCTTACCAGAACTTCAACCATAACAATATGTTCATCTATACAGACGCTGTTTTCAAAGTAAGTGCTGCATGTTATCTCCATACTTTGCTTTTGTGAATATTGTTGCAGTGATTCACCCTTTTCTTACAGAATTCTGAGGGACACTTTGAAAGCTTTAGTTACTGTCATAAAACATGGAGCAAGCTTTGCTAGATATTCCTGTGTACCCTTCTGGTGCTTGTAGATTTGATACGTGGCTCTCTAGGCATGCGTTAGTGCTTCAAGAATTTTTTGTCCGCATTAATACCATAAACTACCCTGATTTCACGCGTACAAGGCGCGGGGTGGTCCTAGCTTTCATCGAGCTGCTCAGCCGCCCCAACGTGTTTTAAGAAGCGATTCTTATGCCGCACGATTCGTCAGGAAAAACGCAGCACGGTATAAGGTTCCTTTGGTTGCGAAGTCCTTTGCCGTGTTCGGGCTGGTCGATGAAAGCTAGGACCTCCCCGCGCCTTGTACGCGTGAAATTAGGGTAGTTTTCTTTCTTACAAAGACAGGCTACACTGGTTATACTCTTTCCGCACCATTTTCAAGTTTTACACGTTGCCGTTGAGTTAAAATTTTTGAAGTCGCTTGTTATTGTAACACTCATAAGGGAAAACCGTCGTATAGATCATGGAACGATTTCTTTAGTTGCAAAGCGCTTCTGGGAGAGGAGTTTTGGGAATTGTTTAAGGCAAGAAATCAAGGGTTCCAATACAGCAAAAACAAGTGTCAACGTTTGAAAGGGGTAATGAATAGCACAAATTTATTAGACTAAAAGTATCAAGTGCATTAAGTAGAGTGGATCTGGAATCAGCGTTATGTGCTCTGTAAGATAGCTACATTCGATATAGAAACGCCACTTCGACTAAGAATCTTTCCCTTGTCAGAAACCAAATATAACTTTGTCTTAATAATCATCTCACAATCTCATTGTTTGCAAGTAACTACACTCCGGTGGGATTGCGCGCTAATACGGCTCGCCGCCCCATTCTCTCACATCATTACTGATTGACGGATTCTTTGCTGCATGTTCAGCATGGGAACAAGATTCTGGCAAACCATACCGTTCAGCAAGGTAAGATTTCCGCGGCACTGAGCTTATGTAAATTCTAATAAGATGTTGCGTTAAGGTCCTGCTTTGGAATGATCCGCACTTTTCGAATCAAGCTTTGGTAACAGCACACCTGATTTCGTTTTTATTAGGTAAAAATTTGCTGGCAAGCAAGTTGGTTTCAGTGCATCCCACCCAATACGGCTTCTTTCATAGCATATTTCAAAGAAGAAGATAATGTCGCTGCTCAAACGTCTGCGGAATCACCCCCAGAATCGTACAGAAGGCTAACGAAGGCTCGAACAAGGCTAAGATCTTTTGCATATCACTCCTGTTTTTGAAAGTTTGTAAGAAATGTGTTTACAACTGTGTACACTTCTATCTAATAATTAATGTAGGCGAAGTAGAGATACGCAAGGGAAATAACGAGCCGTAGCTAAGTTCGGACATTAGGATGTGACGGGCTCGAGCTGCCGCATTTCTTGGGTGCTTGTCGCGCTGAAGCGTTGTCTCGGGCTGCATTGTTCCGTATACTTGAGACCGAATCGAATAATTATTCGATCATTCGAATAAATCATTCGAACGCGAATGATTCGAAAAGTCGAATATGCGAGAATCTGAGATTTCGAATTTCGAAAGTCGAATATTCGAAATTTTCAGTTTTCGAATATATTCGATAGTCGAATATTCGAGGGTCATTCATTCAATTATTCCATGTCCATCAAATATTCGAATATTCGTTGAGCACCGAATAATCGGTAATTCATTAAGAATTGACTTTTCGAAAATTCGAAAAGCACCGAATATTCAAAATTCGATATGCATAGCGTATGTCTTAAAAGCATCTACACACCGTTTGATCGCTAATACCTCTCAAAGTCTTTTGCCAATTCCTGGGTAACATCCAGTAGGCAGCAGAAAGCGAATCACCCATGTTTTTCTTAATGTGGGTTATCACGGTAGGAAATTCCAGCATATAGACCAACTGCAAAATAAGACATCCAAAAATACTGTCCCCAAAAAAGGTCTGGAATCTGTGCAGCAGTGTTTTTACGTATGCTAATTTTACTACGCACGAGTTTTCAAGCTTTTCGAATGGCAATCACATTCTTGAAACGTTGAAAAACACTTCTTACGGTGTACCTTGCGTAAGTTTTAAGCATTACGGTTGAGTGCAAATTCTACATAAAGTGAGTGTCTTTAGAAGATGAATACTATACTATACTATACTATACTATACTATACAATACTTTCGGCCCTTTCGATTCTTTTTCTTGGGGAAATGGCTCTTGACGTTTCGAAACCCGCTTCAATCCTACGGTAATTTTACAATAGTGAAAAGCGATTGATAAATCGCCCCATACTCCAAGTTCATGTCAGCTTACAGATCTACATACTATTGGGACCGCTGTATATAATTAATCGCAACTCTCAGTGAGGGTATATAACTTTCTTTGAAGTACGAAAAATCTCTTCACAATCGTTACAGGAGCAGCTTTTAGGTTCCTAAGTCTCTTCACGTAACAACTAAACCGTTTTTCCATCGTAAATTGTAACATAAGAAAGTGTCCATTCTTAACATTTACATGAAATTTATTCTTGAATGTTTTGGCCTTTCATAGGCAGCTTCAATGACGTAAATTGTTCGATCAGTATTCGAAAATCGAATGATATTCGAAAATCGAATAACATTCGAGAAATAATATTCAAAATTCGAATAACGAATGATATTCGATATTCGAATATTATTCGATTCGAAATTTTCATTTTTGAATAATATTCGATAGTCGAATATTCGAAATTTCCGATTTTCGAATAATATTCGAAAGTCGAATATTCGAAATTTCCAATTTTCGAATAATGAAAATTCGAGAATTTCGATTTCCGAGTATTAATTGATATTCGAATATTCGAAATTTTCAATTTTCGAATATATTTGGTATTCGAATATTCGAAAAAAATTTCGAATTTCCCCAAGTATACAATGCAGCCTACATCGATTCGTATCTCTTCAGAAGATGAAGAGATTGAAGAGACTTTACTCGAGATAATTTATAATACATGCCTAAACTATTGATGCCACGGGGTGTTTCTACTGGCTTATCTTATGCCCTTGGCCAGTCTGACGATAGCATTGTGAGCTATCTTCGCCGCAACTATCAAGCTCAGGATGGTATTGAACTCATCACCTTCAGCGCAATAACGTAAAGTTTTAACTATCAGACTAACCCTGCTCTCCCTTCTTTTATGATTTCGCAATGATCCCTAGTGGCCAATGAATTTTTCAGAGTCGATTCTCTTACATAGATTTTGATGAAAACATCCTACAGCTGTATTTTTACCTAACACAACGGTGCTAAGCATGTTTCTGTTGAGAACAAATGAGCTCATGAATATTGAAGAGGATGTTTATGCTTGCGGCTTTATTTAACGCTCGTACTTGACCATAAAAGTTTGTTAGTCGTTTACGGGAAAGGAGCGAGACATATGGTCCGATCTTCAACGAAGACCTAGCAAAAGTATGCTTATCATCACTTACTTAATGGTTCCATACTTGTCTGTAGCATTGGTGTCACCTTGTCAACTCCAAGGGCTCTGAAAGATAGTGGAATATGATTGCTTTCCATTCTTCAAAATTCTTCTTGCGAACAGTGGCTATGTATCTCATCACAAAATTTATTCGCGGTGTGCTTCCAAACTTGTGGTATCGGCACTGGGGTTATCACCACTGTCACTCGACGATAACACTCGTGTCACGGATTCCCCATGATTGATAGTAACCTCTTGCGATGCAAAACCCTCTAAGAAGTAGGACAAACACCGCTTGCCGCGCTATCCGACGAACATCATTGTAAGTAAGTTGCATGTCGACAAAATTGCTGGTACCCATCTAGCCGGGCTGGTGCCGTTTCAGTGGTTGTAAATAGCTCCGCGCATCACTTTCACTTCCCTTTGATTCGTCTTTATCAATTGCTGCGTGTTTCCACATGCTCTTTTGTCTTATCAGATGTTCCGAGTAAAAGTTAGGGCGTCCGCATTCGAGCCGACGAGTGCGAACGGTATGCTAGAATTACCGTTTCAACAGATTGAGCCGGGATCGTTAAAGGCAGCCCAGGCAGTTCTGGACCTATGGGGTTTTTACGTGGAAAGTACTTTTGGGTCCCTAACTAAGGCACTGCCCAAGCGGCAGCTCAGGTAGTGCTGTAATGGCTGAGATATTCCCCTCGAAACTGGACCCCGCGACCGTGTTTCGCATGGATTCATGGCGCAAAGCGTGGATCCGGGCGCGAAACTGCCATGAATCCATGCGAATACGTTCGCGGGGGCCAGTTTCGAGGGGAATATCTCAGCCATTAAGGCATTACCTGAGCTGCCGCTTGGGCAGTGCCTTAGTTAGGGCCCCAAAAGTACTTTCCACGTAAAAGCCCCATAAGTCCAGATCTGCCTGGACGCTGCCTTTAAAGGAGCTAGCTCCTTCAACGGTTTCGGCACAAACGAGTATCAAGCTTTCAACGTTACGTCTAGCCGCCATCAAAGTGGGAAACTACTTACGGCACGACATCGCGAGCTGATCTTCTCAGAAGACGTAGAGTCGACATCGCCTTTATTTCAAAAGACAAGATAGAGAGGAGAATCGTCACGGGACATGGGAAATGGGTACAATCTGTAGAAAGGAACGCACAACAACAGGAACGGCGTTGGTATAAGTGTCTCAGAAGCGTCGAGGAGTAGCATCACGGCCGTGGATCGAATAAGTAATCGGGTGATGTGCCTTTAAATAGATAGCGAAAATAGAATTTTCCGAGAGTCCTAACCGCCTTGGCACCACAGGTAGGGTGCACAAAGCTGGAGAAAGATGAATTCTGGAAGCAACTCGAGAGCCGTAGCTCAATACCATGTGACGAGATGCTCTGGTAGGAGCAGATTTTAGCTGACATGTAGGGAAGCAGTAAAGTGTAAAGCCAATGCCATGGTCATCACAGATACGGAACAATAACAACGAAGGAGATCGCATTTCAGAGTTTGCCACGACACATGACTTGGCGGTGGCAAACACATACTTCATTAAGAAGAACAATCATCCATCATGCACTGCGAAGATTGGTCCAAAATACTCCTGGAGGAATCTAAAAAACAAGGTTTATTCAGAAAACAACTAGTCTACTGTTACTCACGAAACTAGGGCGGGAAAAAATCGATAGAAAAACCTGGTGGTGGAAGACATGCAAATCCATGATTAAGAAGAAGGCAGCGTACAGAATGTGGCCGAAGTCAAAGTCAGATGAGGCAAGGCAGAAGTATTCAGACGCGAAACGGGCAGCAAAGAAGAGTATCAGGCCTCGGGCAGAGTTCACGCGATCTGGTCGCCGCGATTGATCCGACTAGACAACGGTAACAATATCATTGCATACCGATCTTCTTGCATTTCGGTTGTGATAGTTTCCCAACACGATTAATCGTGACTAACTATCACAACCGAAATACAAGAAGATCGGCATGCAATGAACTCGTAACACTTGTCTTGTAGCGTTTGAATCGAGACGATCAAATCGCGTGAACTCTGTCCGAGGCCTCAAGGCGAAACTATCGTACATGAAGATACTTTACAAAAGCTGCACATCCGAATAGGCAAACGGGAGTTCTATCGAATCGCGAAAAGAATATCAACCACCACGAAAGATGTGAAGAACTTCTACAGTATCAAGGATGTACACAGGAGAGTGCTTAGGAAGCACAAGAGATGAAATAAAGATGGAGAACACCGCCGAGATAGCATCTACAAGCCACGAATACACAACAACGTCTACAACTGAGCATATGAATGGACTAGTTCCGATCATCACGGAAGTCCGCACCGCCATACTGAAAATGAAGGACGGCAAGTCGACGGGCCCCGACGACATTCCCAACAAATTTGGAGAGTATGTGGTCAATCCGGAGTTACATGACTAACACGACTGGCTAATCCCATCAATCGGATAACAGAGCAAGAAAATGACAGATGACTGGTGAAGAAGCGCAACGATCCACTATGGAAAAACGAAGACGACATAGCTGACTGCTCTACATACCGGTCCATCCGACTTATGTGCCACATCCCGAAGATCTTCGAAGGAATTCTAACCGACTGCGAAGCATCGTGGAGCTAGTTCTCTACGGCAGATTCGTCAAAGGTTGCAGCATAGAAGAATCCACGCTGTAAGGACAAGGATGAAAAGAAGCAGGAAGCAATGCGAGCTACAGGCACCTATTTGTAGAGGGCGTTCGATGGAGTGCCCATGAATCACATGGTGATCCCTACGAAAGCACATGGTGCCGGAAGAGTACGTGCAGTGGATCAGATGATATACAAAGATGTCAGAAGCCACGTACAAACTGCAGCAGGACCATTAGAAGAGCACCAAGTAGACCGGAGTACATCAAAGTCCCTTACTCTCCCGTCCTTTTCATCACGGTCATGGATACAGTAGTTAAAATTACGCAATGACGTAATGCTAATGGCAAGAAGCAGGAATAGAGGCCGAGATGCAGAAGTGCAAAAGTGAACTCCAGTGCATGGTCTGAAAATCAACACCACGAAGATCGCTGCACAGAGCTGCGACCTTGAATGCCTGGGACTATACAGGTCGAAGGCGCACCAGTCAAGAAGATTACGATATTCAAGCATCTAAATAGTCGCATCGCTGCACACTGTTCTGCCATTTGCTGCGTATTGTGGACGAACCGACCTATACATCAATATCCCGCAATAAAGCGGGCGGGTTCGGGGATGAACGGGGCTCTTCTGTTGTAAGCTAAGTGAGTGACACAATAAATGATGAACGCGACGTGTTGTGTTAGCTCCCAGCGTCACAGTTGTCCTGTAATGGCACACAGATGGTACGCTTGAGGAAGCCAGTATAATAAATCCAGCTTGGTCATGGAAAAGTGTCACAGGAATCCTGTGCGATAAGAATAAACTAGTAATAAAAGTGAAATGATAATACTTCCCGTTTCGTTCCTTCCCTTAGACGGAGTTTAAAATGAGTTTTAGGTCTTCCCCGGAAGTTGCCACTCAGCCTAAAATTCGTACTGCACTGTAGTCCGCCCGACTGCACCGAGCAGTGCGCATGTTGGCCATGTATGCGAGAAGACGAACGAGAGATTAACGTGATGGAGGAGCGTAATAAGACGGACGGCAGGAGTATGATGAATCATGACGGCCAAGAAGAAGCCCGAAGATGAGATAAATGGATGCCATGAACGCCGACTCGAGATGATGTGAGACAGAAGAAGATCGAGCTGGCTGTAGATCGAGAAGCATGGAAGAGACTAACCAGAGCAGCAGACCCGTCTGAGGGAAGAAGCAATAAAAAAATATCATAACTTATAATAAGCGGCTTAATTTGAAGCTGTGTGGAGTTTGTCCGTTACGAAATTACTGTGAGGAATGATTTACGATACTTAACATCATGTGAGATTAAGACAGCGAGTGTGGTTCATTTCTAACTAAGGCTCTCACGTTGCCAACCAAATAATGATTTGAGGGACAATCTCAGAGAGTGAGTTTATTACGATTCATGACGCCAGTGCGAACCTCTGCGAAGCAGAGGTGAAGCACTGGTCAAGTTGTAAGTGACTCATCAAGTAGGATGCTATGACGATCACGATGGCTTCTGAAAGGATGGCGAGATCGTCTCAGCTACTAGTAGCGAAAGTCAACTGCAAAATCCTTGCAGGAGCTTCCAAGTGCAAGCAAACAAGGATATTGCAAGTAGTTGAAAGGATAAGAACTCTTAAGAAGTGCTAATGGACCACCCCGAATATCACGTACCCCCGGCAGCACTACTGAACGAAGACAAGACTCTGACTTCTTCCCGAAAGAAAATAGTAATCGCGAACTTTTTTCACGCCAATCTCTTACATTCATCAACGGCCGTGACTCCTTCTTCCAAAGAAGTACCACGACGGATTCCACTTGCTGACGCACCGCTATCAATCCATGTCCCCAAGACCAGATCACCTTTCTCTCGAGCTTCTAGTAGTTCTTCTAGTTCATGTAATACTCCATTCATAACGTAAGCCGGCTAATCAAGACCTTATAATAACGGGCTAAGGGTTGTTTACGTATTTTTGTGTGTTTGTGTCTGTGTGTGTGTCCGTCTGTTACGAAATTCGTAGAGCGCGTTCCAGCCAGCGTTCTAAGCCCAAATTTTGCATAGCGCATACTCCCTTCATGAAAGTCTAACATGCAAAAGCACGAGTAGATTCGTTGAGTGGATCCCTCAGAAATTGCGCGTCAAACGGATCCACCTGGCTTTTGTCCCGCAATATTGAGTCCGTATCACCACTTTTTGCAAAGTCGTGGGTGTGTTTGGTCAGCAAATATGCAAACGATGGACTTTAGCCCAAAATGTGGTCAAAAGTTCACTACATAACGAAAACGGCGCCAAAAAGAATTGGTTGCGTAAATGGTCAATTTGCCAAGGTTCTAGCCAAGCATTTCAAAAGATTTTCGCACAGAGATGTAGCTCACGATTACTATTGCCTTTACGGCGACTACCAAGCCATGACAAATTCAAAAACCTATTCAAACCTGCGTTTGTCTTCCTGTGAAAAGTCATCCACGCGAGATCACCGATCTCACGTGAAAAAGCTTTTTAAATGAGTAGTTGTTTACATTTTATTCGTGGTAGTCGGCATAGTGCGGTGAGTTCCAGTGCAACAATTCTACGAGAATGAGTAAGGCACATAGATAGTAGGGCCAGTGCGAGCCTCTGCGAAGCAGAGGTGACGCACTGGTAAACTTAAACCGTCCTCGTTTTTAAGTAGGACGAACGAGAGGATGTTCAGAGCACAAGCTTTTTTCACGAAGATAATCCGCTAGCATATCAAGAATACTGAAGGGCTTAGCCCCTAGTACAAGCCGCAAAGGAGTGAATGCATGAATTACATCAAGCAGTTCCGAAGGTAATGAAAAGCCTGACGGAAGCATCGTCTGTTCCCCCTGACCGTTGACTAGAGAAATCTACCTAGAACTTCCTCAGACACAGGCAATTTCCCAAGTTTATTGCCGACCGTTGCCACGGTTTTGCTACTTCAAAGGCAGCGTCCAGGCAAATCTGGACTATGGGGCTTTCATGTGGATAGTAATTTTGGGTGGCCCTAACTAAGGCACTGCTTAAGCGGCAGCGCAGGTAGTGCTCTAACGGCTGAGATATTCGCCTCGAAACTGGACCGCGCGATCGTATTTCGCATGGTGTTTCGCCGGTTCCAGTTGACGTTGGTATGCGACATTTCTGCTTACAGCGGTACACGCAAAATTTCGTCTTCCATGTTACTGTAATCGGGCCTTTTCAAGGCGCTGATTTCGGATATGAGGTTCAAATCACCGAAAAACTTCAAAATTGCCCCTTTTTAAAGCCCTAATTTGGCGGACGTGGACGAGTGCCAACGCGCTAGTCACGTCGTATGTTACAGGAAACCCCGTCGTGTGCAACAGTGTCGCAATGACAAACTATGCGTCTCCACGTTGCTTGTCATGTCAGAACACGTCGCGGGGCAATCCGTAGGTGAGTGGAGCTCAAAAAAGGGATGGAACGTAAAGAGGATCCGGTCCGTTATCTCCTTTTGTAAGCAACATTAAGGAACCTGACCAACGCGGTTGGTCTACTTTCAGGGCCTGCCAATAGGATAAGTAGTAATCTGAGGTAAGTTTTGGATGGACCCTGCTTTTAATCAGAAGTTAGTAAAAAGTTATCTCACTTTTCCTCCCTTTCCTCAGCTGCTCGCAGAGTTGCCGCAAAGCGCCTATCAACAGCACGACATGGTGTTTGCATAATTAGTCTCAACAGAACTTACGATCCCCAGACATTCGATATGCCTCTGAACAACCCTTCCACTTTGCCGAAACTGGAAAAACGTTTTCAACGATGCAAGAGAGGACTACCATCGCACCGTTTCTTGGGTGGCATCACTGGCAAACCACACTTCTTGACTAGAACTTATCAAATGACTCAACCATACTAGAGAATCTCTTTTATACGTGTAAGATATTGACAAGAACATTAGCCTTACTTGAACAGTGACATTAGGCATGCCATCTTCTCCCTTGCAGCCTTTCCACCAAGTTTGTCAATTTCAAAGGTTCGCTTACACTTTTGTATTGAAGAAAACATGTTAGACTTCTAAAAACTCCTGATAAGAAAATTGGAAAGACTAGTCATGAACCAAACACAAGTTTATAGGCAGCTAGCACTAAGCTCTATGCAGGGTCAAGTGTGGGGTGTGGCATGCCATATCTGAGGGGTCGTATTAAGGAATCGGGGAGGAGGGGGGGGGGGGTCGTTATCGAGGTGAGCTGGTGTCAGCGATAACGTGATATTCGTTAACAATGTCAGATAGGCACTGTGTAAAGTACTAGTACACACACGTTTTGGCCTACCATCATATACGTACAGTAAGCGTAATAAAAGAGCTCTATAAGAATAAAAGCGTCATTTTCGTAACTAGAATGTCAAATAACCCTTGTGGGCCAAATTTCAGCGAATTCTAAGGGTTAAGTCCACCTTAAGGTATAAATGAACCTTGAAACGCATAAACCCGTATTTACCATTCTACCTTGAGGTTAAATTTACCTCAATCATCATTTCTCATCAACTTTCCATTATGCGTTCAAGGTAGAATTCAACCCTAGGATAGCTAGCGTTAAAATCTACCTTGACTGCACATAAAAGTTGAACTCTTTCTAAGGGCCTCTTTAATTCTAACGCAACCGTTTTCAATAAAAAACAGACAGGGTGTCCCAGACAGATGTGCCCACTCTTTATTTGTTAACCAGTGCGTCACCTCCGCTTCGCGGAGGTTCGTACTGGCTCTGTTATCTGTATGCCTTATTCATGCTCCCAAAATGATGACTTTGAAACTCACCGAGCGAGGCTGTACATCATAAATGAATCGTAAACAACTGTTCATTCTTGAAGCATCTCCATGTAAGGTTGGTAATTTTGAGAAAGAAAACTTTTTTGCCAAGGAATTAATATGAATTCGAACAGATTATTGAATTTACTTTGGCTTGGTAAATGCTATAAAGATAATAGTCATTTTGGGCTACATTTCCATGCAAAAATCTTTTCAGATATCTAGGTAAAACCTTGTCAAATCGACTCTCTACGCGATCACTACTTCTTGGCGCTGTTTTCGCGGAAAAGCAAACTTTTTGAGCACTTTCGAGCTAGAATTCTTGGAGCGCAGATTTGCTTGTGAAGCAAATCAGGACTTTGCAAAAAGTTGAATTTGTGACCTAGTTTTGCGCGCCAAAAGCAAGGTGGACCCGTTTGAGGCGCAATTTTTGCAGGACCCGCTTATCGAACCGACTCGCCCTTGTGCATGGTGGGCCTACATGCTGGTAGGGTATGCTATGCAAAATTGTAGCTCGAGCTTGGTTGCAGCTGCGTCTATGAACTTCGTGACAGACAGACAGACAGACAGACAGACAGACAAACAAACAGACAGACAGACAGACAGACAGACAGACAGACAAACAAACAAACAAACAAACAAACAAACACAGTTTAGTGCTTTATTATAAGTCATGATAACCCTTTTGTAATGAAGTCTTTCGAGAAGCTTCAAGTACCGTTTTGTTAAGCTGGATTCAAAAAATTACTGAATGCGCGGATTAAGAATCTATCTTCATTACAGGAGCACGGTAGGAACTTGCAGCATATGGTGCCTGCCACTGTGAAGCCGTCTGAAGAAAATTTCCAAAAAAAGTCTGAAAAAATGTGTAAGTTTTTCATGCATGTTTGGAATTAGCGACTCTGATTAACCCAATGTAGGAGCTTGCAGCTTTTTCGGTTCTATTTTAGGGATGAAATATGACATTATTTATTCATAAGCCTCTTCGAAGTTCCTACCGTAATTCTACAGTAATGAAGTGGGATTTTTGATAGGTACCGTACTGTAAATTTAAGCTGAATCCAGCTCTACAAAACAATACCTAAACCTATTCGGAGAACTTCATTAGAAAAGAGTTGTCAACGAACAAACACTAAGCACACATTCTTGGGAAATCTTGTATCTATATCTATACCCAACTCAAATTTTGCTTATTCACTTAATCCCCTTCCTTCTCATCTATACATGGTTATTAAGGCTTCTAAAGTTATCCAATGATCATTGACGGGCGAAACATCGAACCATTCGATAAGTACGCATCAATGATTTGCAATCAAGCGAGCTCTTTTTATCCGCAGAATTTTTGCAACGTGTAGCCGTTATTACAGCTAAGCTTTACTATAAAATCATGCTATTTGACTTTCTGATCAATGTTAGACATAACAATCTCTAAATTGTGCGTATGTATAGGGTACAGAAAAAGTACTGTCCCTCAAAATAAAGGCAAAAAAGAAACATAATTCCTACTTTTTATAGTAAATTTGGAATAAGTCCCAAGATGTGAATGTAATCTAGCATTTTACAGAAACTGGCTTCAAAATGCTGCCATCTCACACGACGGTGGATCCCTTTTCGCAACGCATCCCATATCAAATCTTGCAACTCCTTTTTACAAATGTGCAGGATGTGTGAAGTTTTTTGGGAAATTCTTTTGTTTTCAACTTTGTGGATTTGAGAAATCTTCTACTGCTTAAGAAATGTTCTAGTGTCTTCGAAATATGCTGGAAATAGCCGGACCGCAGTTGCAGTAAGAGAAAAGTTGGGAAATTTTTGAACGAAACAGCGTCTGCGACGCAACGATGTGCGATCAGAGAATGTGGCACAGAAACTAAGCACAGTTGTTTATTAACTCAAAATCATGATGTAGACAAAGCCCGATGTTTTTTTCATCAAATGTGTTGCTTTTTGTTCAAATCTGGAATTTCGAACTAAGTTTGGATCCAATTCATTGAGAAAGAGCACATCTGATTAGCCTCTTTTCGTGAATATTTGAAAATCGCTTGAGATATAATCTTCTTTGTTTGGCCAAAATCTCAAGGTACTGAACCAAACAAGTACCCTGAGTACCTTGAAAATTTTAAGGAAGACATGTTGCTCTATATACTACCTTAATTTGGAATTAATGCAACTCCTGGTATAGTTACGGTCCAAAATCGCACCCAAACGCTGCGCTGCATCGTCGATGATCCTGCTCGCTGTTACCATTCGCTTAAGTAAACAGAATGAAACCGCTCGAGATCAAACTTATCTTAATCACATCTATAAGGTTTCGCCTGCACGAGGGAATTAAAAACTATAGATTTTCTCCATTTGTGGGATTTTTTACGAGGCAAACTGAGGGAAAGTACTTTTTCCGCACCCTATCGCAGAAACTCAGATAATCGTAGGTGGCAGGCGGCCATGCGATTTATGGGCGGGCGGGCATCGGAAAAATAGTTTGCTATTTCTCGCGGTCCGCTTGCAGATATTTGGAAGAATTATAGCGAAATTTTAGGCGAATGCTTAAAGAACAATCGAGGTTTCCTTATAGATTAGCTGCGGCGCAGTGGCCGTGTTCTCGCGGACTTTCCGCGAGAATATACAAAATTTTCGAGGGTCCTTTATGGAGGACCGCGCAGTCCCCAGGTACATTCCGCTGAGAGAAAGTACCTCAAACTTGAGTAATTAAATCAACGGTGACCCTCTGCCACACAGAGTCTTACCTGTGCTCGACGTAAGCGCGAAACTGCGTAAAAAGAGTCCGAGCGCCTGCTGAAAGTTCGGCCAGCGTTTGCTGAAAGAGATTATTTGACGAGCGCCTGCAGAAAATTCTGTATTGCTGCCCGCTGGCAGAACATTAGACAGTGAAGGAAGTACCGCTCGCTGAAGGTTTGGCCACGCCCCAAAATTCTGCTGACCGCTTGCAGAAAAGCGCGAATTTGCGGACCGCCTGCTCCCGGCGATTATCTGAGAACGGCACGCCCTTTGAGCATACGTATTGAGGCACATCTTTACATTACAAGGATAGACCACAACAGCCACTCCATTGATTCCCACAGAGTGCAAGATCATCAAGGGTTTTTGAAGTAAAATTTGAAGTTCTAGCGCGCTAAACTCAAACATACACTTGCAAAGCTTCAAAAGCCTTTTGAATTCATTTTAGAAACTAAAATGAACCTCGAAGAATAATGTCTCCCAGTGGCGTACCGAGGGGGTGGCGGGGGGAGGGGCGCCCCCCCCCCCCCGAGAAGGGGTCGCCAAATTTTTGAAAGTTACTTAAATGTGTTATAAAAATGTGCAAACGACTTGTTTTTACTTGTAAATAATTTGAATAATTTTTTTAAATTTTCAAAAATTCAAATTAGCCTTATAAAAAAAATTTTTTCGGGGGCGTGGCTAACGCCACGCCCCCTTTTTCTGAAATTTTGGGGTCAGGGGGCCACTAAAATTTTGGAAAGCATCCCAAAAAATTTTCGGAGTGCGTGGCTAACGCCACGTACCTTCATCAGAAAAATTTTTTGTCGCCACACCCCCCCCCCCCCCCCCCCGCCCCGAGCGGAAATCCTGGTACGCCACTGATGTCTCCCTATCACAAGTGCGATAGTGTGAGGTAAATCTCACCCCCCTCTCACTTTGAAGGCTGGGCTACCCCCAGCCCCCCTCCACTTCGGACGGGCCAAAAAAATTTTTTAACGAGGTGAGATGTTAGTGTGCATGAAGTGGAGTGGACTACGGTAAAAGAATCTATTTAGAGTGTATGGAATGAGAATGCAAGGGACGAATTCTTGGCTAGAAATCACTTGTTAAGTTATTATAAAACGGGGTCCCCTTATTGAGACGAAGCAGCTGCTGCAGCGAGGAAATACTTATTATAGTTTGAAGTTGAGAGATACGCTTTGAGAAATCACATTTTAGGAAATTTACGGAACGAGCAGTATATGAGTCGGCGTGGAAGGGCGCATGGTCATGAAACGAATGGCTAGAGTGGAGCTTTGACGTGGGCGTGTTGGACGAGAGTTGGAAAAAAAATATTTTT